ACATCATGGAACTGTGAATCACTTGGCAAAAATTTGAATTGTTGTCCTATCATCTAAAATATGCTGAATTGTTTTCCTTACTGAAATTCTACCTATATATTTATTACAAAAAACATATCAGGCAAAATACACCTGCCTTCCTGAATCATGCTCAACACAACAACTGTTCTATTACACCAAATTATCACCCTCTAAAATCTTCCAAGCCAGAGTTTTAGTTGGATGGGTTTTTTTGTTTTGTTTTGTTTTGTTTTTTTCAGTCCACTTAACCCATCTCTCACAAGTGTCATCTTCTTTCCTATTTTCATAATTTGGTTGCTAAAATGTAGAATGGAAGAAAGAATTTAACACACTAAATAAGGTCATGACCCAAGTGATTGGGAAGTAACAACTCCTTATTTGAGCACCTGTAAGATTTATGTAATTTTTCCTCTATTTTTTTTAAAGCATCTCCTTAGGTAGGATAAGCACACTCCACTGATTTCTCCAGTAGGGTTAATGAACACATTGAAAATAGCTCATTAATTTCTTTAGCCCCTTTTGTAAAGCACAAAAATGACATTCTAGTCTAACAACTGGAGAAACTGAAGCATAGGTGAATAGAATCACTCAATGACAATGACTCCAGTTCTTTTCCATGCTATGGAAATTATTCACTCTCATAGGCGTGCTATTATTATCTTAGAGCCCCAGGTTTGGTAAAGGCATTATTAGATCATAGATCTCGAGTTGGAAGGGACTTTAGAAACCATCTGGTTCAATTACTCATTTTATAGATGAAGAAACTGAGGTCCATGGAGGTTAGGTGACATGTCTAGTGATTAATTTTTTTAAAAAAATTCTGAGTTTGATGAGGTAGAAAAGTCTGCAGGATTTGGAGTCAAAGAACCTGTGTTCATATCCCAGCTCTACCACTCCCTCCCTACCTGTGTGACACTGGGTAACTACCTCAATCTCTGGCCCTCAGTTTCCTCATCTGAAAATGGAAGAAGTTGAACCGTATGGACCTCTGAAGTCTAAATGTACGATCCTAAGTTTTGAATCCCACTTCTCTTCCTTTGGTAGCCTCAGTTACTCACTTTTCTCCTTCCTGTTTTATGCCTCCCTTGATGTCAATATTCAATAGGTTGCTGAACAAAGTACTTTCCATAGTAATATCTGGCATCATGCAATTTTAGCATATGCATTGGAGACACTTTTCTTAGTCAAATGCTTTTTTAAAAAAATCTCTATTAATTCTTTCAGGCCACCTCAAAATTGTTTCTGGTTGTTTTTTGTTTGTTTGTTTGTTTGCTTGTTTTTTTCTCCTCCTTGTCTATCAACCTTAAGGGACTAAGAAAACTAATAAACTTTCCAAAGATGCCCCAACAGGATCAGGCCAACTGTGAATCCCTTGGGGAAAGGTACTTGAGTTCCTGTTTCTTAATTTCCTTTGATATAAAATATGTAATAATTATGCTAACGGTGTTTTGAAATACAAAAGGGAAACTCCCTGAAAGTACAAAAGAAGTTGAAATGTAATCATTTGCACTTCCATAAAATGTGAATTTAGAGTATATCTCCATAAATAAGAGAGAGAATACCCAATACATTGAAATCACTTGAGGGGAGGGGTGTTTATTTGTTGCTGTTTTTTTTTTTTTAAATAAAAATGCCTTCAGGTTCTTCTAGCACTTCTTTAGGCTTATTTGGATGTGTTTACAATAACTGGATGCCAAAACAACGGGCTGTATGTCTTCTCAGTTAAAATATTTCCTCATGCATTTAATAAACTTAGAAAATCCTAGTGTAACCATAAAAGTGTTACATCATCACCATCTTACCAATATAGGGCTTTGTGTAATGGCTGTGACATCATGACGGTGAAGTATTCATTTTTAAGCTTTAAAAGGGGAGGAGAAACCTTTACTGCAGTGTATCCAATAGGAATGTGATATGCAAATCAACTCATATTATCTGTGCGCTGATTGGCTTGAGTTCTCCCGAATGTCACTGTCTCACCACCCAGCAAAGAGCTATTTTATAGCTGCCTAGAAATCAAATTATTACCGTAGAGAAGATCTTTATTTTTTTCTGTGTTTCATTAGCAGAATATTATAAAGCAATAAGCATGCAGGAAGAGAGGCAGACGTTTTGCAGTGAGAATTAATGAAAGTATGTCCGTTGGGCTTCTTTGTTGTGTAAAAATACTGCTATATCTAAGAAAACACTACCTGGGAAATAGTGAATAAGGAAATGCATAGCTTTGGTAATATTAGTTGCACCCAAATGTCTGATCATGCAGTTTCTGTGATATCATCAGAACCTTTAGGTAGCTATAACTTTATGTTTCCTGTTATTTTACTAGTATTCTTCATGTGTATTCATGGGGCGGGGGGGGGGGGGGGATCTCTCACATACAGCTTTGACATCACCAATCTATTCTACTGTACTTTTGAGGTGGCAAAAAAGAAAGAAAGAAAGAAAAAACATATTTGTCTCCAGAAGGAGAAAGAAATGTCATTTAAACATCTTTCCAAGGCTGTTCATTTTAGTCATGTTTATCAAGGTAGAATGGGCACCATATGTTATGCGGCTTGGCAAGGAGGGGACAGGGTGTGTTTAGCTTCTTCCAAGTAATATACATATCTGCGCATATAGATGATTAACAAGGACAGGGGTAACTTGTGCTAACAGATTCCCCTTCTTCCCAATTAAAATAAAATTATGTTTTTCCCGTCCCCCTCTATACGCCAGTCTTTCTGCTAGCTTGCAGATTCAAAGATCAGCTTGGGAATCATTTGAGAAGGAAACCAAAAGAAGCTCTGATACCCAAAGAAGGAAAGAAAAAAAAATCGGGGGGGGGGGGAAGGGGAGGAGGAAGAAGGGAGGAGGAGTGCAGGGAAGCTGGGGAGGAAGGGGACGGGCACTGGTCGTAGGACCTAATGCATTGCAAAGTACAACAGTGCGGTGATGGGGAAGGAGAGAAGAGCATAATGAGTTCTTTCCAGGCCCTCACTTTGAATGAAGGCAGAGAAAAAGTTCAGAAGCCCCAACAAGAGGAGCCAAAGCCTTTATATTCCCAGGAGGACCGGACAGGATCTTCAATAAATCCAGCTAGCAATGATAACGGTTTGCTGCTGCGGCTGCCCTCGTTGAGGCTGTGGCTGCTGCCTCTGCTGCTGCTAGTGCTGCTGCTGCTGCTGCCGCCACCTCTGCTGTTTCTGCTGCTGCTGCTATTTCTGCTGCTGGTACTGCTGCCCCTGCTGCTGCTGCTGCTGGTGCTGCCGCTGCTGGGGCTCCTGCGTTACTGGGAGAGATTGTGCCGCTGCGACAGGGGAGGACGAGGCTAGTAGCTCAAGGAGGCTCCAACGCGCAGGCGCTGTTGGAACCGCTGACTAGCTCCTCAGTCAAGGTACTAAGGCAAAAAAAAAAAAAAAATCAGCAATTTATAGAAAGAAGAAGCTATAGTCTGTCGGGATATCCAATACCAACAGGTAGGAGGATAAGCTCTTGGTTAAGTTGGGGGGGTTGGCAGGGGGGCACGGTGATGATGGAGCTGCAGGTTCACGGGCAGAGATACCTCCCTGTGGTTTTTGACAATAAACTGCATAATGGAAGTACACACAGACAATGCATCTTCAACAGGGCTTATTGGGAGCTCCTTGTCTGGAGAGCATTTCAAGACTGAGGGAAATTGGGCTGCGAACCACCAAGAACAGCTCCCTCGCAACACAGAAGCGATTTCTCTTCCCATCTCCGTGTATGTACAGTGTGTGCATGTGCATGTATCTCTCTATTATAAATCCAGGGGTGGCGGATTTCAGGTTTCGTAATATGCCTGGTGCTGTCGGTATTTACCCGAGGACACACCAGTGGGGAAATTAAAATCATCCAACGCAAGTTTTGCCAGGGTTTTTGGTGCCTTATTTTGGGTGGTAGAAGAGTAGCAAAGGGAACAGGCTTTTAGTGGGGAAATAACTGAAAAACCTGGTTTCCCTGGCGTGGCCCCAAACCCAGGATCTGGGGACCCTGTAGATGATCTGCTTTTTGCTTTAAAATGTAGCTACTTGTTGTTTGGAACAAGGGATAGTGGTGTAAATGGGAGAGGCTTAATTACCCAAGATATTCATTTGAATCCAGGCGGCCAAGGCTTACAAATGGAAGTGCATTATTACTCTGGGTGTGTTTCCTTGGCCAATATTTACATTAACCTTTGCTAAGAATCATGTGGGTTTAAAAGAGAAAAGATTCTCGCCAAAAAGGTGGGGGATGGGGTGGGGGAGAGGGACTGACAAAAGACTAAATCACATCATTGTTGTGTCCTCCTAGGACCAGTCTCTATTCATTCTAAAGTCTAATGGATGAAATCATGGTTTAGGAGAAAGAGCAAATACTCTTCTGCCTAGACAAATGCAGGAATGATTGTCTCTGATTCATGTGCTTGATGGGCTTTGCTTAAAATACATAAATTTTGCAGGGGTTCTTTGGGTGTGATCCATATCAACAGAGCAGTTATCTGTAAAACACTGACAAATATTAAGACCTCAGATAGATGGGGATAATGTTCCTTTCTCTCCATGTCTTTTACATTAGCAGTCTCTCCATAGGTTTAATTTTACACACCAATGATTGATTCCTAGGTTGACACTATTTAAAATAAGGAGCATTTCATTTTTTAAATCTTAAAGGTATCCAAGTAAAATGTACCTTTTCCAAAACATAGGGATCATTTCTGAACTAGATCACCTAAGAAATCATCTGAATCCTCTGAAATCTCAAGCAAACTCAATAGTTTATAGCATGCATTTAATATCCAGGTATCTCAAATGTTTGTTCCCCCCCCAAAAAAAAATCACAACAAGTAAAACAAAAAAGAGTACTAGATTTTACAACTTCATTTGCTTTCCCATAAATTAACAGCTTAATGTTAGTACTTTCTGACATCATGGTTGTTAACTTAAGAACTGATAGCTCAATTTTTTTTCAGATATTCTAATGGCAAATCAGATGGAAGAAAAGAGGATGTATGACTAGACACCAAATCAGTTCTTTTTTGTGGATTACATTTGCAGTAAGATGTATGGATCTAGCTCTTCCTTATTCTTATATATAGATCATGAGACTTGACTGAGGCAATATCCTTAGCATCCATCCATCTATGGCGAACTATAGCCATGCAGCTGACAACATTTTGCAAAATCTCTCTCCTTTAACTGCCTTTCTGAAACTGACTTCCCTGGGTTTCATAATAGGAGTCAGTGTGGTGGGTAACCTTCTGATCTCCATTTTGCTAGTCAAAGATAAGACCTTGCATAGAGCTCCTTACTACTTCCTGTTGGATCTTTGCTGCTCAGATATTCTCAGATCTGCAATTTGTTTCCCATTTGTATTCACCTCTGTTAAAAATGGCTCTACCTGGACTTACGGGACCCTGACTTGCAAAGTGATCGCCTTCCTGGGGGTTTTGTCCTGCTTCCACACTGCTTTCATGCTGTTCTGCATCAGCGTCACCAGGTACCTAGCTATAGCTCACCACCGCTTCTATACAAAAAGGCTGACCTTTTGGACTTGTCTGGCTGTCATCTGTATGGTGTGGACCCTCTCTGTAGCAATGGCTTTCCCCCCAGTTTTAGATGTGGGCACTTATTCATTCATTAGGGAGGAGGATCAATGCACCTTTCAACATCGTTCCTTCAGGGCCAATGATTCCTTGGGATTTATGCTGCTCCTTGCCCTCATACTCCTAGCCACACAGCTTGTCTACCTCAAGCTGATATTTTTTGTCCACGATCGAAGGAAAATGAAGCCAGTCCAGTTTGTAGCAGCAGTCAGCCAGAACTGGACTTTTCATGGCCCAGGAGCCAGCGGTCAAGCAGCTGCTAATTGGTTGGCAGGATTTGGAAGGGGCCCCACACCACCCACCCTGTTGGGCATTAGGCAAAATGCAAACACCACAGGCAGAAGAAGGCTGCTGGTCTTAGACGAGTTCAAAATGGAAAAGAGAATCAGCAGAATGTTCTACATCATGACTTTCCTCTTCCTCGCCTTGTGGGGCCCCTACCTGGTGGCCTGTTACTGGAGAGTTTTTGCACGAGGGCCTGCAGTTCCAGGGGGATTTCTAACAGCCGCTGTCTGGATGAGTTTTGCCCAAGCAGGAATCAATCCTTTTGTCTGCATTTTCTCCAACAGGGAGCTGAGGCGCTGTTTCAGCACAACCCTTCTTTACTGCAGAAAATCCAGGTTACCAAGGGAACCTTACTGTGTTATATGAGGGAGCATCTGTAAATCTCTAGCCTTGTGAAACACTACCCTTCTCTGCTAAGCAATTGTGGCCTGTAGCCATATCTTGAGAAGAAAATCAAGAATGGGATCAGCAGTTGTAAGGATTTGGGCAACATTCTGCAGTCCTTGCATTAGCTCACCTATAATCCTATTTTAAATCTAAAAGTGTTCCTGCTGACCATTGGTGAAGGTTTGTAATTAAGAAAGGACTGAACCACTGCCCTAAGTTTCTCTATGTGGTTGAAATCTAGATCCTGAAAGTAGCAGGTGCTAAGTATCAGTGCTAAATGCTGTGTATATCACTACTTAAGATAAGACCATCAAAAAAGATTAGCATTGGACATCTTAATAAATTAAGTTGACATGAGGTAAACGTGTTGATAAAAAAAAACTAATTTTAGAAGTTTGAAGACTTTGAAACATTTCATACTCTTATTGTTTTTGCAAAGACTAATTACTGGGGGACTTAAAGTACTGTAATCAACTAAAGATGTGCCATGCATTATTGGATTATCACACTTAAAAATCTGTTTGCCTTGTAAGTTTTGGGGACCATTCCAAAAGCAGGATTTTGGTTCCAATTTGAGTTCACTTCCCGCCCCCACCCCCTCCCCCAAATGTGTTACTGTTTCTAAATGCCATTTTTCTTACTGGTAAAATTACTAGCATTGGACTATGTTATTTAGCTTTATGTTGATTTGGTAAAAAGGTTTACTCAACTCATTTTATATTTTGCAAATACTAGATATCTGGCTGGTAGGCAACATTAACAGTACTATCCAGTCATAACTGAGCAGTCGGAATAATAGAACAAACACATGTTGCCTTAAAGGGTTATCTAGTATTTTCCATTTTATTTATCATTGGAGCAAATAGGCAAGGAAAATTGAATCCGTAATTCTGGTCAGTCATCTGGCAGTGCATGAAAGATCACTTAATCTTCTCATTTCTTTTTTCTCCCACAGTTTGAAAAATTAGGGTGCACATCATTGGGATAATGTGAATCATTTTTTCTTTTTTTTAAGGTGTGCTGCCCATTCTAGTTTGTTCTGAGAAACACAGGCAGTTGATATATGTTTATATTTTGAGTCAGCTGTCACGGGGAGACCGCAGCTTAGTATGATAATCTTGCACAATTTGTGGAGCATTTATTCTACTGAAGGCACAGTCTTGTTTATACTTTCTGCACATTGGGTGTATTGGTCGTTTTAAATTATTTAAGTTTTAACTTGTGAAAGCTTATAATATGATTTCTGGTATTTTAGAAATACATTAGAGTCTGTGAGTCTCATTCTTTAAGATACAGATGTGTGAATTTCAATATAAAGTTGCATTTGCCAAAATTTACCTGTGTAGCCTGTTAATTTTCTTGGAATAAAATTTATCTTTTTTTTTTTTTTAAGTTTAGTTAGGAAGCACAAACCTGGGATTTTGTAGATGTATTATGGCTTGTTATTTTCTGTAGTTGCAATACTCCCAAAGTATAAATACATGAATGATGGGGAGCACAAATCTGATAAATGATATCATCTTCAATTGCACTGTTGTGTAATTTACCATAATTAACCCTCATCCTTGTTCTAATAGGCCATTTTTATTTGAAGGTGCAAACCAACACACCTGGTTAGTTTTGAAATAAGCACCACATTTTAATTTTGGAAAGTAGTTACAGTTTAGCCCCATGAATTTGCAGTCTATAAGAAGCGCAATCTACAATAAATATCTGACAAATCTAAATTTTTTTTTTTTGTAATATGACTAGAAATAATATGGTGCCGGCCCCTTTCATTATACAGTACTTTTGTATCCACAAAATTAATTTAACCATAAAAAAGAAGACATACACTAAAATTCTGAAAAGTTCATGCTAATCTAGAGTGATATATGAAACCAGTCAGAGTTTTGCTCATATAAGTGCAAAGAATTCAAGCAGTGATTTAGTGAGCAATCTGTTTGACCTCATTTTCACTTCATACCGAAGTTGATAGAATCTGAGGCTAAAATGAATATGCTACAGTGAAACAAATCTTAACTTATAAATAATATGCTTCATTGGTATAAGAACTGGACCTGGGATTTCATTGGCATAGGGCTATCCCTGGTGAGGAACCTGCCTTTACTAAGGCAGGTCAGCACCTTCTTGGTAACCTAAAGTCTTAAAGTCTTAAAGAGCTGTCCAGAGCACTTAGAGGTGAAGTGATTTGTCCAGGATATCGCAGCCAGCATGTCAGAATTTGTTCCTTGGTCTTCCTGACTTGGAGGCTGGCTCTGTCTATTATACCATGCTGCCTCTCTCATTGGCATGAGAATTGTGGTCTGAAACATAATGAAGGACTTTTTGCCAAAGGAAAATTATTCTGATTACATTCAATTTCAAAATGAAAAATTTTCATTGGGGAAAAATAATTACAGTGATTATGGCTATGGTGTGCCTTAAGAGGGCAGGCTTTTAATAATCACTAGAAACTTCAACCCCATACTATCGCCATGATGGATGTGGAGACTAGATGTTGGGACATTAGTATCCATTTCATAGAAGAGAAAACTGATATAGGGTTTAAGAGTAGAGGAGCCAAGGGCTGAGCACCTGGTTTCTAATATATCTTGAGATATCCAGCCTTGCTTCCCATACATAAAAATATCTCATAAATAAATGTATAAGAAAATTACAAACCAAATTGGCCTGAAAGTCTTGGTAAACTAGAAGCCTCTTAAATTTAATGTGTTTTGAACTGCGCAATTGTTACTTGCACATACTTATAAGTAGACTAACATTTGCCGATCAGGTACTGAACAATGGACTGGTTCCCAGTATGTCAACATTGTTCATAAGTTATCAAGATAACTGTGAAAGGCAATGTGACATAATGGATAGAGCTGGCCTCAAAGCCAGGGAGACCTGAATTCAAGTTTCACCTCTGACACCTTGGTTGTGCGACCCTGGACGAGTCATTTAATGTCTAAATACTCTTACTGAGACTGTGAGTTATAGAATAAGTGTCAGTGTGCATTGACAGAGGGAGTTTCCTTACTTGGGAGTTCCTTATACCAATAAAAGCATATATCCATTCCCTATCCCTTCCCCCAAGATAACTAAAGTTACCAGAATACAAATGGTTGGTTTATTTTTGGTTTCTTAATGACAAATTCAGATCAACTAGCCTTCCAATTGAAAACTCAACTGTTGTGACAGTTGGAAGTAACTGATTTAACATGAAAATGATCTAATCAGGGCAGCTCATAGACATAGCCCCAGTGCTTTCTAACAGCTCAATGGGAAAGGCACATGTTGTCAACAGTAATGATGTGCTGTGCCATATATACTAACTCACCATCTGTAGAGCCTGTGCTTTGAATTTCTAGTAGCAATGATTAGTTTGCATTGATCCACCCACACACTTTTTGCCCAATGGTCTATATTTGTGAGATAACTGGCTAACATTAGGAGTGTAGTCTGCGGCCATGGAATCTTATTCATCGGCTTAACTGAGGCACAAAGAGGCCTGCTGTCTTGCTTGAGTCCCAAAGATGTGATGACTATGCAATGCAAAGTGAATAGTTGGGGATGGAAAACATGGGTTGAACACCTGAATTTCCAAACAAAAAGAACATCTGAATTTCCAAACTGCTCCTTCTCTATTGAATTTCAGCCTTTTGTATTTTTGTTGTAGTTGATAAGACCAGACTCAATTTACCATGGAGATTGATTTGTACTTGCTAATCAATTATCTTGTCTGCTCATTCTCTTGCTTCTGCTCTCATCAGTGCAATCTGATTAGTTTATACTTGAATAACAGACATGGTATTCATGGATATGAGTCAGTCTTTCCTCCCACTTTCCTTGGATTCTCTTCAATGCCTTGTCTCCTATGCCCCCTTAGGGCTCCCTGAGATCCCCTTCAAATCAGTTTCCTTTCCACTCAAAGAAGCCTTGAACCATCCATCCACACACCAGTTAGGCAACCGATTATGGCATGACAGGGTGAATTGCACATTGTAGGCCTTTAAAACTGTAACCTGACTGAACAGGAAACCACCAAAAACTGATTTGCAACCTTTTTTTTTTTTTTTTTTTGCTTTTTGGTGAGGCAATGGAGTTAAGTGACTTGCCCAAAGTCACACAGCTAGTAAGTATTAAGTGTCTGAGGTCAGATTTGACCTCAAGTCCTCCTGACTACAAGCCAGAACTCTATCCACTGCGCCACCTACCTGCCCTTGATTTTCAATCTTTTTGCTAGCCGTGTGAGAGACACAGTAGAACCAAGAGGATCAGAGACCCTCCCACAGTCTTGGCCATCAGTTTTAGGAATAGCTAAGTCTCTTGCACACTTAACTGAAATGTAAGTTTGTTTTGTCTCTCCTTTCCCACCTCCATCCCCCCACACACACCCCTTTCTCAATATACTACCAAGTCCATCAAGATAGTAAGCCCTGGAATTCCTAGTGCATTTGTGGTTAAACAAGGAGGCCAGATTATATTTGGGATGGCTAGTAGTTGACCATCTTGTAGAGAATGGACAGAAGTTCCTGGAAGATTTTTCCCCTCTGGTGGCAATATGGTGTCTGTCTTTATTTCTAGGGTGTGAACAAAGGCAGGACCAATTATTGTGTTAGTGGTTTGGAGTAGTAAAAAATAGCCACCTCGTGAATGTTTGTTTTTGTTTTTGCTTCTTTAAAGCAGCCCTTAGTAACTTTCACCTAACCCCCCCCTCAAAAAAAAATCTGGCATGGCCTCCAAAGTATAATTATATTGAAAATACAGTGGATCACCTTTATGATACTGGTGTGAAGAGTAGATTAATTCCCGCTTTATAAATAATCGTAGTGGGTTTGTTTTTTTGGGGGGGTAGGATGTATTCATGATAAATCAGAAGCCATGTAGTAGTGAACAGTCTTACAAGGGAATTCTTTTTTAATTTTTATGTTAGTATGACCAGTAATTCTAAGGGAAACACAACAAAACTCAGCATGTCTATTTACTCAACATAGGATGGATTTTGCTTTCCTCTATACTTTACCCCATTTCATTTATAACAATAGCTTTCATTCTTATTAGAACAGAGTGACTGTTATAGAATTCCTTAATTCCATATGAGGAAGAAGAAGAAAAAGCAGGTAAGATGATAAATGGTAAATTTTATAAAAAGTAGCTAAATACATTTATCCAGGTAGATGTTTACCAAAATTGTAGGTTATTTCTGGTCCCAGCATCCTAGAAAGGGTTTTTCCCCCTGTGCCATGAATTTTGCATTGGCATTTTTGGGGCAGTGTACAGTTACATGGTTTGAACCGAAATTGCAGGACTCTATTATGAAAATGGTTTATTTGCTGAAAACGTTTGCATGCTTGTTTCTGGGGCTTTGCTATTTCTTTCTGAAACATTCTGACAGTGAAATGATGCCGCTCTTTAACGTTGAAGGCTACTTTCATGACTAGCCAGAAGGTTGTGTATAAATGAATGATCCAGCTCATCTGACTCAAATGTGATTTTTTTTGGCCATCTGTCAAAATAGTCAGACTGGTTTGTTGAAAAAGACACAGGTTCCAGGTAATAGAGATT